ACATTTAGGAAAGATAGTAGCTCCCAAGTCCCACAGAGTTACTACTGTTCACCTGCTATGCTAGAAGACCACAGTGCAGCTCAGCAACTTTGCCAGCCCCCTTCTGAAAACACGGCCAAGGCAAAACTAGCAAGACCCACAATCCTAGGGTGACACTGAGGAGCAGGTACAACTACCAGTCACTCAGGAGCTCATATTCTGCTTGCAGATTAACTGCACTGTGGATGCAGGGAGGTTAGCTGGCTCCATGCAAAGTCTGGCTGCGTTCATTAGCTGAGGCACAGGACTGCCTGCTCAGGTCTGGAAACATTACAAATACTTTCACAGGACACCAAGCCTAACCTAACAAAGACCTCCAGATGTGTCTCGAGAGAGTACTGCAAAGACTCTGCAGACTTGTTCCTGAGACTAGGAGTGCAGGGGAGCAGGGGGCAATGACACCCGAGTGACTCCTCATAGACCCATGAAGGGACCAGCTCTGCCTCAAGGTGAGCTATGCCACACTCTGTGTGTGGGCAGCACTCTGTGGTCCAGGAGGGTAGGTTACCTCTGCGGTGACTAAATTAAGCGTTCAAGCTATCTGTACAAGATTCCCTTTATTTCACAAACGGATCAAACTCACATATGTTTCAACAAGGATCTGGAAAGAACTATCGGCATACAGCCAATATTACTAACACAGGAGCGCATATCTGGCTCAGCTGGGATGTTTGCCAGTCCTCAGAAGAGTTAAAGACAAAAACATTCCATACACATACTCGTGACTGTCTTGAGCCACATCTCCCCAGGCATACACCAGGCCATCCTCCGACCTGACCTTGTAAAACTAGTTCTTCAAAGCCTTGGCAAACATGCAGCACAGCAAATTCTAACGTTCACTCTTGAAAACAAATGCCAGGTGTTCTGAGCAGCTCCCACAAGCTCAGGCTCAACACTGCTTGGATGCACAGGGCCAGCTTTGGCCTAGTACAGTGACAGAGCTATTTGGCCCTCCAGGAACCGGCCTTGGGTTTTTTTCCACTACCTGGGGTATCCCAAAACTGCATGAGGATTTTGGTTTCCATTACTCTTTTTATGGAGTACCTGAAGAAAAATTGCTGAGCCCTGTCACTTCTGAGGGACAAGGAGCTTCAGGGATTTCAGGGCTAGTGCTGGAGCTAGTGCCAGGTGTTGACACCAGCTTGTCAAACTCTCTTGGCTTGAGTGCTGGTTGCCTCAGAAACCACTTCTCTCCATGAGGGACAAAGCAAGCACTGTGGGGCTGGCTAACCAATGTACGCCGCCCTCACCTGATGGGCGAACTTTGTGTGTGGCTTGGAAGAGGCTGTAAAGACATGCACGATCAGTGTGTTCATTCTGACATGGTTGGTTGTGCGTGCATTGTAAGTATCTGTGGCAACAGTGCAACTTTCTGAAAGTTGAAAAGGATCAAAGATAATACCAGAAAAGGTCTGCTAGGAATGCAGACATCTGAGGTATTAAATGTGCCACTTCTGTCATTAAAAAAAACCACAAATGGAAGTTTGTGGTGGAAATTCATGAAGCTCAAGGTTGTCATAAACTGACCTACCTTTGACTGAAAAAACTTACATTACTAAGGAATGGGCCTCTTTGGAGATTGAGACACAGAACACTTTTAAGATAAGATGCTGACACTCAGCCTGCAATGGACTGAGTGGAGATTTGATGGGAAAGTTTCCTGCAGGATAACATGCAGTATGCATTTGTTTACATCATCCATTCCAGTGACCCTGCTCTGACAGCAATAAACATCACCTGAGATGAAGTCAAGAGATGGGATAGTACTTTCCTAAACTGCAGCATCTCTGTTCACCAGAATGTGCCTGTCAACAACTTCCTCCAAAGGTGTAAGCAGTATGGGATGGGCTGACACTAAGCAATGCCTGTATCTCTTCTCCAGACGCCATTTCTTATTCTACATATTACTTCACCTCTTGCTCCACAAACCATATTGCTTGTATTTGTGACCCCTGAAAGCCCTTAGTGGACAGACACATGCTCATTGCAACAGCTATCATTTCCTCCAAACATCCAGGGCTTGCGCTGCCTCCTCCTGCTGCTGCAGTGTCTCAGGACTGGATGAAAATGACATGCTGCGCTGCTGAGATAACATGCTAGCCCTCCCACCACAGAGTGGGATGTCTTTACTTCAGGTCATGTCATGGGATGGTGGTTGCCCTCAGAAACAGCCAGTCCCTTCCTGGGAAGTTGCCCAAACATCTGCTCTGTGCAACAGGAGCGCATCCTTGCAATGCACAGCACGAGCCGTGCTCGGTACCACCTGGAGCATCAGCTTCACACCTGCAGGGCACATGCTGGCACAAAATCACAGCTGGGGGGACTCGGCAGAGCCCTGACAGAATGTGGCTGTGGGCCCACACCTGAGCCAGAACAAATCTGCGGCACCTACCGATGACCAACAGGACCGCCTGGGTCTGGCATTAATGGTCAGGGGTCTGCTGGGTAATTAATAAGTATTATTAATTGCAGAGGTCTGAGAGGGTTATAGAGAAAGCAGGTTAGGTAACTAGATTGGTAAACACCCGATGAAGAAAAGAAGAATATGGATGACTTTGATCAATGTGTCCACAATCATTTTGCCTTTTGAGCACTCTGGCCATATTTGTTATTTCAGTGAAAGATTGGATACCACATGATGTGAAAAACGTGATGTGAGATAATCAGCA